TAGCAGGTGACCAGAAGGCCTGGGTCAGAGGTGGGACCCCAGGACAAGGCTTCACAGCCCAGCTCCTTTTAGGAACCTGGAATGGAACACATTGAGCTGCCTCCTCCTTCTCCTTCTCCTTCTCCTTCTCCTTCTTCTTTCTTCTTTTTTTTAATTTCTTCTTCTCAGTACTGATCATTGACCCCAGAGGTGCTCTACTGCTCAGCGCTAGCGTTCTCTCTCTCTCTCTCTCTCTTTCTCTCTCTCTTTTTAAAATTTAATTATACATGGACACAATATCTTTGTTTTGTTTATTTATTTTTATATGGTACTGAGGATCAAACCCAGTACCTCATATTTGTGAGGCAAGTGCTCTGCCACTGAGCCACAACCCCAGCCTCAGCTCTTTTTATTATTTTTTATTTTGAGACAGGGTCTTGCTTATTGCCCAGGCTGGCCTTGAACTTGCAATCCTCCTGCCTCAGGCTCTTAGGTAGCTGGGATTACCACACATGGCTCTACATATGGCCTTCTTATCCTTCTTCTTTTTCTTGTTCTTCTTCTTTTTTTTTTTTTTTTTTTTTTGTACTGAGGATTGAACCCAGAGCCTTGTGCAAGAGAGGCAAACTCTCTACCAACTGAGCTATATTCCCCAGCCCTGCCTCTTTATCCTTCTAACAGAAAGAAAGGCAGAGTCTTGAAGAAAGTCTAACATTTCCCATCCCTCTTGCTGGAAATTGGAACTGAGGCTCAAGATTTTCTGGACTATCTAGGGTTCCTGCATACGAGTTCAGGACTCAAGACCACATGAACACAAGTTCTTCCCAAGGTGTCTTCTCTGGACAGAGCATGTCCAGAAAATGCTGGGAAAGGACAGAAGGTGCCAATGTGCCTACCCCTCAGGGAGCTTACCATCCATCCTGTGGAACACAGCATGGTCATGCCCCCTGGGGAATAGAGATCACCTCTGACTAGAAGCTCAGGCAAATCATTTGTCCTGAGACTCAATTTCCCTTTGTGATTGGAGGTATGAAGCCAGTGATTCTGGAAGGCTCTCTTGGCTCTGAGGTCATGAAACAATAGAGGACAAGACACAGTGGACTTAAACACCACATAGAGAGGTATGGCACATGGGCACACAAACACTGGCCCGAATGCCCTCCCTCCAGCAAGCTATCTTTGGTTAACATACATTTTGTACACCTTTTTCATAAATGGTTATTGAGAGAATTTCTTTCTTTTTCTTTTCCCTCTCTCTTCAGTACAGGGGATTGAACCCAGAGGCCTTCTACCAATGAGTCTCACCCCTAGCCCTTTTTATTTTATTTTGTTTTATTTTATTTATTTTTGATAGAGGGTTGAATCCAGGGGTGCTTTACCACTAAGCTACATCCCTAGCCATTTCTCTTTTTATTTATTTATTTTTTTAATTTGAGGCTGGGGATGTGGCTCAAGCGGTAACGCGCTCACCTGGCATGCACAGGGCACTGGGTTTGATCCTTAGCACCACATAAAAATAAATAAATAAATAAAGATGTTGTGTCCACTGAAAAAAAATGAAAAATAAATATTAACAAATTCTCTCTCTCTCTTCTCTCTCTTTAAAAAATATTTTTTTTTGAAAGCTGGGTGCAGTGGCACACCCCTGCAATCCCAGAGGTTCAGGAGGCTACTACAGAAGGATCACAATTTCAAAGCCAGCCTCAGCAACTAAATGAGGCCCCAAGCACCTTAGCAAGATTCTTTTTTTTTTTTTTTTAATATTTATTTTCTTAGTTTTCGGCGGACACAACATCTTTGTTTGTATGTGGTGCTGAGGTTCGAACCCGGGCCGCACGCATGCCAGGCGAGCACGCTACCGCTTGAGCCACATCCCCAGCCCCAGCAAGATTCTGTCTCAAAATAAAATACAAAAAAGGGCTGGGGATGTAGCTCAGGGGTTAAGAGTCTCTGGGTTTAACCCCCTGTACCCCACAAAAAAATTTTTTTTGAGGCAGGGTCTCACTAAGTTACCAATGCTAGCCTTAAACTTGCAATCCTCCTGGAGCCTCAGCCTCCCAAGTAGGTGGGATTATAGGGGTGTGCCACTCTACTCATCCAGAGATTTTTCTTTTGAAAGACTCTGTCACGGGGCTGGGGATGTGGCTCAAGCGGTAGCGCGCTCGCCTGGCATGCGTGTGGCCCAGGTTCAATCCTCAGCACCACATACAAACAAAGGTGTTGTGTCCGCCAAAAACTAAAAAATAAATATTAAAAAAAAATTCTCTAAAAAAAAAAAGACTCTGTCACATATATTATCATTCTTATAACTCTACAAAGTAGATATTACAGACTCCATCTTATAGATAAGAAGGCAGAGGCTCAGGAAAGTTAAGCAATTATTAAGTTAATGGGTCAGGACAGCGCCCAGAGCCACGCAGGTTCTCTCCAGCTTTGAGGAGCCTCCCATAAACAGGCCTATCTGTTTTTCCTGGGAACTCACTAAGGATCTAGGGGATCCCTAATAGAAAGTCCTCAATTTGTAGCATCTTGAAGGTATAGTCCTTCCTTCCCAAGCAACAGGGTCCTGACATATCTATGAGGACACATGCCTACCTGGCAGACAGAGCAGCAAGTAACACACTTTTTTTTTTTTTGGTACCAGGGATTGAACTCAGGGGCACTTGACCACTGAGGCACATCCCCAGCCCTATTTTGTGTTTTATTTAGAAACAGGGTCTCACTGAGTTGCTTAGAGCCTCATTTTTGCTGAGGCTGGCTTTGAACTCATGATCCTCTTGTCTCAGCCTTAGCTGCTGGGATTACAGGCGTGCACACCACGTCCAGCCCAAGTAACACCCTTTACCTATACCATTTAATCCTCCCCTAACATCTCCTCTGGAGAGCATCAGTATTATTATCATCCCCACTTTGATTTCTTCTGCTTCTGAGGGTAGAACCCAGGGCCTGCACATGCTAAGCAAGTGTTCTATCTCCACTGAGATATATTCCCAGTCCCAGTCTCACTTTTAGGATGAAGGACCTGAAGCTAAGGAGACTTACCAAAAGTCATAAACCCAAGAAGTGTAGACACAAGGTCTGAACCCAAGTTATCAGAGTCCAGGGCCTGATTTAACACTGATGTAATCAGTGGACTCCCTTGCCTTTGTGGAAAGCACCTCCAGAAGGTAAAATCCTCAATCTGGTCTGAGGTTCTTCTACTTAACAGCTATGTGAGTTTGGAAGTTTACTTAGTAATTGCTTGGATTTCTGTTTCTTCATCTGTGAAAATGGACATCTTCCTCCTGGGTTGTTGGGGGATGATATGGAGTACTTGTATGAAGAGGGGCATGGGGCCTGGCTAAGGGTAATCCTCAGCCTCACCCCAAGACTGGTCCTCTGGCTTTAGCCACAGCCACTCACTGAACCTGCATTTACCTTCCATACCGGAAATTACTTCTACCCCTTACCGGCTTTCACCTTGCTATTTCCAGTACCTGTGCTCCTCATCCCTCTCTCCCAGGCTTTGTAGAATCATCCTCTGTGGGGGCATGGGGATTCAGGTACAAGCCCGAAAGTCCATTCCCAAGTCTATTTTCCTGCCCCAGGAATCCTGCTGGAGCAAGGACCCTAGATTAAGGCTACTAAAATTAGCAAATAATTCATCTGACATCCTACTTTCACACCTTTGGGTTGTTTCAGGGCTCCTAGAAGTACATCAGGTCAGAAGAGTGACCTTAATGGCAGACAGCCCAGCAAATGACTTTTGCTTACATTTTTTTCAAAAACTATTTTAAGGGCTGGGGATATAGCTCAGTTGGTAGAGTGCTTGTCTTGCATGCACAAGGTCCTGGGTTCAATCCCCAGCACCACAAAAAAAAAAAAAAAAGCAATTTTAAGTATACTGTACATAACATAAAATTTACCCATCTTAAATATACAATTCAATAGTTTTTATTACTTTATTAAGTTGTATAACTATCACCATAATCCACTTTTAGAACATTTTCATCACCACAATAAAATGTCCATTTATATTTCATTCCTGTTACCACCCCCACAGACAGCTTTATGTTTTGTTTTGTTTTGTTTCCAGGGATTGAACTCAGGGGCACTCGACCACTGAGCCACATCCCCAGCTCTATTTTATATTTTATTTAGAGACAGGGTCTCACTGAGTTGCTTAGCACCTTGCCATTGCTGAGGCTGGCTTTGAACTCAAGATGCTCCTGCCTCAGTCTCCCAAGCTCCTGGGATTACAGGTGTGCACCATCGCGGCCAGTAGCTTTTAAAAATTCTTAATATATTAATTATTTTTTCTATTGTAAAATCATGAACTCTTATTATAGGAAGTTCTGGGGGTGGGGTGGGAATATAGCTCAGTAGTAGAGCACTTGGCTAGCATTGAACCCTAGGTTCAATCCCCAGCACATGGCCATGAAAAAAAAAAAATTCTGGGAGGAGGATCAGAAAAGTGCAAAGAGGAAAATTAACCACTCCTAAAGCCATAATCCAGTGAGAACAGTTGTTAATAATTAAGTAGATTTGTTAGGCATGGTGACACATGCCTTTAATATCAGCTACTCAGGAAGCTGACGCAGGAAGATCCCAAGTTTGAGGTCAGCCTGAATAACTTAGTGAGACCCTGTCTCAAAATAAAATAAAAAGGGTGTGGACGTAGCTCAGCAGCAGAGCACTTGCCTAGCATGTGCAAGGCCCTGGTTTCAATTCCCAGTACTGCTAAAAAATAAAATAAAATAAGGTAAATACTTTTATACTTTTTAAAATCTTTTTCTCTCTGCTCATATTTTGAAGAAAAATTGTATCCAACTATACATAGCTTACAATCTGAATTTTTATGTAACATTCCATGAAAATACTCCCTTGGTATCAAATCTTCTATATCATTTCTGGTGGTAATGCAGTATTCCATTGTGTTGTTTCCTTATTTGATCCCCTATTGTTGGACATTGAGGTTGTTTCCAAATTTTCATTTCATTTTTTGGTTGGTTGGTTGGTACTGGGGATTTTTTCTTCTTTTTTTTAATATAAAACGCTTCACGAATCTGCATGTCATATTTGTGCAGGGGCCATGCTAATCTTCTCTGTATCATTCCAATTTTAGTATATGTGCTGCCGAAGTGTGCATGGTACTGGGGATTTGATCCAGAGCTTCACACATGCTAGGCAAGCACTCTCTCACTGAGCTGTAACTCAGCACTTTGAAACTTCTTTAAGGCTTCTGACCTAGTAAGGGATGATACCTTGGGACCAGGTTGTCCAAATCAGAAGCCAGAGCCTCAGGTAATGTTTAGTCCAAGAGCAGAAGGTTGATTAATGTGGGGCTGTGTGTGTGTGTGTACACACGTGTGCAGGGCGTAGAGGCTACCATTTTGTGAAGATGGTCGGGCACTGGGGATATAACTGTGTGGAGCTTCCTTGGAAATCAGAGGAACACTTGTCCCTTCCCTATTCCCTGCTCCCAACCACCCCCTGGTGCTCCAGGATGCACCCTTCAGCATCTCCTTCCTTTCTGCATCCATGCTTGCTTTTTCTTTTCTTCTTTTTAATACATATTTTTTAGTTGTCAATGGACCTTTATTTTTTTTAAGAGAGAGAGAGAGAGAGAGAGAGAGAGAGAGAGAGAGAGAGAGAATTTTAATATTTATTTTTTAGTTATCGGCAGACACAGTATCTTTGTATGTGGTGCTGAGGATCGAACCTGGGCCGCACTCATGCCAGGCGAGTGCGCTACCGCTTGAGCCACATCCCCAGCCCCAATGGACCTTTATTTTTTTTGTTTGTTCGTTCCTTCGTTCGTTCGTTCATTCATTCATTCATTTATATGTGGCACTGAGAATCGAACCCAGTGCCTCATACACGCCAAGCAAGCACTATACCCTGAGCCACACCCCCAGCCCTTATGCTTGTCTTAATGCTCCTTCCAAGCAAACTGGATGCCTTTTTTTTTGGAGCGGGGGTGTCCAGCCAGCTGCAATCTGCCCTAAGCTGTGCCCCACAGCACTGAATGGGTCAGCTTTGTTTCCAAAACTAGATCTTGGCACCCCAGGAGGGGTCCAGCCTCCTCTTCCCTAACCCTCAGCATGGGAGGAGGACCAACTGGGGTTGCCTTGGGGAGGTGGCTGTTAGATGGGGGAGTACATGATAGAGGAGCTGGATGTCTCCGTCCTCAGGGAGATCTTCAGATGACTCACAAGCCACCCGAGGGGAGCGAGGGGCTAGGAGATGAATGGATTGCAAACCAGAGGGAGGGGCGGAAGAGATGAGCTTCAGAGCCTTGATTGGCCCACGTCAGTTTCTCCCTGAACATCTGCAGTGCGTGGGGTTGAGCGATCCCACCGGGATGGGGGGGAGTAGGGCTGGGAGGCTGGCTGACGTTTGCTTCCCGCCTGCTGGGCCGGCCCGGAGCAGTTCATGAATGACTCACCTCATTGTCAGGCTGATTCACTGCTCCGCTGGGGACTTGAGGGAGGGGGGTGAGGAGGCCCCATCTGTACGAATCACACGCACACACTCGCAGATGCGCAGGCAGGGCTCTAGCAGGGCCTTGTACCTGCGCAGGTACAGGATGGGTAGGCTTTCCGTGGTAAGAGAGAGGGGGATGCACATCACCTCGTGTTTGGAAAACAGGATTGAAGTTTCTGTCTACAGTGTACCTGTGACTATTTGCATTTAAATTAATTAAAATTAAATACAATTTGGCTGAGATTGTAGCTCAGTGGTAGAGTGCTTGCCTAGCACAAAAAGGCACTGGGTTCGATCCTCAGCACCACACCAAAATAATAATAATAATAATAACGATAATAATAATAATAATAATAAGTAAAAGGTGCTGAGGTTGTGGCTCAGTGGTAGAGTGCTCTCCTAGCACATGGGAGGCCCTGGGTTCAAGGTTAAGCACCATAGAAAAATAAATAAAATAAAGGTATCATATCCAACTATAACTAACTAAATAAATAAAGGTATTGTGTCCATCTACAACTAAAAATTTTTTTTAATTAAATACAATTGTATCTTTAGTTCCTTAATCTTTTTTTCTTCTTTCTTTCCTTTTTTTTTTTTTTTTTTTTGATTCCAGGGATTGAATCCAGAGGTACTTAGCCACTGAGCCACATCCTCAGTCCTTTTTTATGTTTTATTTAGAGACAGGGTGTTGCTGCCTCGCTATGTTGCTGAGGTTGGCTTTGAACTTGTCATCCTTCTGCCTTAGCTTCTGGAGTGGGAGCAACTGGGGTAACAGGCATGCACTACCACCTGATTTAATTCCTTAATCTTAAAACCACATTTCAGGTGCTCAGTCCAAGAGGCTAGTGGCTACTCTATTGGATAGGGTAAATAGAAAACATTTCCATGTACACAGATAGTTCTATTGGAGGGTTGGGGATATAGCTCAGAAGTAGCACTTTTGCCTAGAATGTGGAAATCACTGGGCTAAATCCTTAATACCTGAAACAAAACAGAAAGAAAGAAAGAGAGAGAGAGAGAGAAGGAAAGAGAAATTTAAGGTTCTTTTGGACAGTTGGTTTACATACACTGGCTACACACTTAGAATCCACAGCCTTCATATGTACAAAACCACATAATCAAAGCCACCCTCCCCCACCCCATATGCAGTGCACAGCCACATTTAATTTCATACAGTTACTCAACATGCAATACCCACCCACCAACATAGCCACACAAAACTCTTGGTATATATACACATTTGCTGTCCAAATATACCACTGTTCATACCAAGGAAAACATAAATATAAACACATGCATCATCACACTGATTCAAATACAACTGTTCATATGATAAACACACGAACCAGGTAGAAGTGCATTTGCAAATATGCTGAAATCCACACAAAGCCAAGCCATGTGGTTCCCATAACAATTTCCAAGCACATGTTTGCAAACTCAAATGGGGGAAAGGGAACCCACATTTGTTGAGGCCCTGCCAACATGCCAGGCATGGAGTTGCCATTTCAATGTATTTGTTCATTGAAACTCAGCATTCCAGTGAGGAAGATGTAGTATTTTATTATAGTATTCTTTCTTCATAGTTGAAGCAACTAAGGTTCAGAGAGGGATAAAGTAACTTAAGTTTATAAGCCCAGTTAACAGCAGAGTCAAATATGAATCAAGATTTGTCTAACTCCACAGCCAGTACAGCACGCTATCTTTAAACACACACACACACACACACACACACACACACACACACACACTAGATATGTTCTCCATTGTAACTAATTAGGTAAGGCTCCTTATTCAATAAAGGAGTGCAAAGTCCATTAGGGAGATGTGAGAGAAATCTTAAGAAAATATATAGTGCTCAATAGATGTGAGCTACAATGGAAGTAGGTCCCAAATCCAAGCAACCAATGAGCAGGAAACTTAGGTCTGCCTGGGGCAGGCAAGGAAGGCTTCTTGGAAGAGGCAGCAAGAGAGCTGGGGCTTAAAGAATGACTGGGGTGGAGAGGGATTGGTATTTATTGGGAGATTGGATGAGAGACAGGGTAAGGCATGGGGACAGGTGCCAGAGCACCGTAGGCTCTAGGGATTTTTTTATGTTATCTTCTGGTGACTGAGAAGGGATTAAAGATTTGGGGCCTTGCGCATGCTAAGCAAGTGCTCTATTACTGAGTTATACCCCCAGCTCTGAAGAATTTTACAGGGGATCTCATTTGCATGTTAGAAAGAATGAGCAGAAGGAAGGAAAGCTCAGACTAGGGGGACCACCAGGAAGTATTGCAATAGTCCAAGCAAGAGCTGTTGTCTGTCCTAGGAGTATAAGGCATCCGGAGAAGATGAAGGATAGGGGTGGGATGGAGGAGGATGTAGCCTGTTCTGAGCTAGAGCAGAGCAACAGTCTTCTGACCCATAGAAAAATATGAAAGCTATGGATTCTCCCTCAGAATAAAGCACATGTGCATAGGCACATGATGTTTTGCACATAATTATAGGGGACTTATGTTCCCCAAAGCCTCAGGTTAAGAACTCAGTTCCTTGGAATTCTAAGAAGCAAAATGACATAGTAGTTAAGTTTGTGGATCCTGAAGTCAGACTCCCTGGTTTATAATCTCAGTGTTTTAGTCAGCTTTTTTTTTTTTTTTTCTGCTTCGAGTAAATGACCCGACCAGCACAACTGTAGAGGAGGAAGAGTTTATTTGAGGGCTTATGGTTTCATAGGTCTTAATCCATAGAAGGCTGGCTCCATTCCTCGGGGCTCAAGGTGAACCTGAACATCATGGCAGAAGGGTGTGGCAGGGGGAAGCAGCTCTGGTGGGGATCAGAAAGCAGAGAGAGAGGTCTCTACTTGCCAGATATAAATATATACCCCCAAAGCCACGCCCCCAATTCCCACCTCCTCCAGCCACACCCTACCACTTTAGCTACCACTCAAACACTCCCAGAAGTTAATCACTGTTTGCGTTAAGACTCTCACAGCCCAATAATTTCTCTTCTAAACCTTCTTGCATTGTCTCACATGTGAGCTTTTGGGGGACACTATATCTAAACCAGCTCTACCACCCAGCTCTACCATCAATTAGCTATGTGAGCCTGGGCAGGACCTTGACCCTGGAACAGTATCTGGCACCCAGAAAGTGCTCAGGAAGTATTGGCTATTATTGTTATGAGTTTAATCACAGTGCTATTAGGACCCCTCCTCGATTACTCACTCTTGTACCCCACTTCACAGCTGGAGATCTGGTGGTGTCTCTGCGCCCATTTTTCTTGGTTCTCTGAACTCATTCCTTCCTTTTAGGTCTGAGTTTCCATTATCCTTAAACCTATTTATTAAAGAGTGAAGCCATGCTGGGCATGGTGGTGCATGCCTTTAATCCCAGCAGCTTGGGAGGCTGAGGAGGATCATGAGTTCAAAGCCAACCTCAGAAACTTAGTGAGACCCTAAGCAACTCAGCAAGACCCTGCCTCTAAATAAAAAATTAAAAGGCTCAGTGGTTAAGCACCCCTGGGTTAAATTCCCAGTACCAAAAGTAAAAAAAAAAAAAAAAAAAAAAAAAAAAAAGTGAAGCTAAATAATCCCTTTTCTAAGAGGAAAAAGAGGTCCTAGGATCCAGGCCCAATCACTTGGAGACTCAGTCTTTTCCTTTACTCTGAGATGACAGGCATTTGA